CTCTCAAAAAAATTTCAATTTTCAAGAGTAAGCCACAACTCCTTAGCCATGGTTCGACTTAGAACTTACAGATGTCGCAGAAGGCTCGCAGAACGTCACAAATGTTAAAAAGATCTTGGAGGGGGATTTCTTGTAGTTAGAATAACTGAATGAATACTGTATGGGCCGCTATTATCAGGATATTCAGGTTGACTCGAAAAATGTTAGATGCCAATATCTTCGTATGCACAGCTTTTCGTAAAAATAAGTCTTTCTTATCGATGCTTTTTTACGCCATATTAACCCTTAGAATACTAAAAAAGTTTGGGTTCTTGGAACGTGAAACTCTTACTTGGGGTTTTCTAACGATATCCTCTATTTTTACCATTCCCTATATCTCTTATGGAAGACCACAACACCGCTTGGGAGTAATGTGGGAGCATTAGCTCCTGAACTTGGTCGTACTAAAAAGGAATCAATAGCACAACGTTCAACTAGGAAGATGACAAAAGAATGGTGTCGATTCAATGTGCAACATTATTTCTACGGCGGGCCCATCAATTAAGAAATCGAGAAAAGTACAAGTTTAAATTCAGTAGGTGGAAATGCTATCACTATTACACTGAATTGCAGTGAATTAGAAGAATAACATTAATAAAATTGAAAATAAGGAGAGTAATGAGCACCACTGGGTATGATATTATTCAACAAGATCAAAAATCTTGGCTTCAACGAGAAAATACTGCTATTTGTGCTAATCACCATTTGTATTGGACCAGTTCTTAATTGATTACGAAGACGACTGTCAACAACTCAAAATAATCTCCCTATATAAACCTCCTACTACATACTACAGAAAAAATATCCAAAAAAGAAAAAGTCAAGGATTGACGAGATTGAGCATTCATACAGAAATGCTGATAGGAAAAAACCACGTATTAAAAAAAAGAATTATAAATAATCACGCAAAAATTGAAAAAAATAACACTCGTAGCAGTGAACCGCCTTGTAGGAAGTGAGCTGTAATGCGGAAGGGGGCTAATCAATAGAAATGCCAGCTGTTTTCCGTATTTGGCTTAGTAATCATTACCACAGCTGTACAAGATAAAAATAACTTCAGATCTACAGACCTCCAAACCATATGCAAGGAAGCGATTATGTTTTTTCCCGTCTAACAGTGGCAAAATGAAGGCAAGGCTGAACAGGCTGAATGCTAGCGAATGAGGTTGTTTCTCATTGTAATTAAAAAATTCTTCTCACGATAAACTTCAAATACCCTATTTTAATTAGGATTTCCAGTAACTTCATGAATCTTTTGTCGATCGAGCATCACTCTGACCAGTCGGCAATGTTTATCAAGGAAGTCGACCGCGATGAGAATGGTTGTCGATCTGGCCGGCAAGAAAAGCTGGTGCTAGCAAAGGATGCCTACTGAGTGAGATGTACAGCTATACAAAACAGAAAGGACCTTTTGAAACAACTTAGTTACCTTGGAAGTTTTTTATTGGCAAAGCCTTTTTAAGAGACTGCAGAATCCCAGTTTGAATGCCTTAAATTTTAACGAAAGTATGAACGGTATAAGAGTACAAACAATAATCGATGAAATTCCAAGATAGTTCAAAAACAACATGGAGTTCTGTTGCCCCAGGCATGTCCTACATCAACTTTACTACTTAGTTTTTTGAATTTGGGTAATCACCTAGTAATACCGTGAAGTTGAAGCTGACTATAACTATCTAACCAGAAGAGCTTGAGCATAGATGGTGTTGGTCACATAGAATGACAAGGACAACCGAAAATCTAAGGTGCAAAATCATTTTGAACAAAGGACTGAAAGCTACAAAAGATTCTCGACGGGTGCTATATCCGCAGAAGTAATAAGTTATAAACTCCCATAAATAACAAAATTTACTTTTACATTTGCTCTTTTGAATGCTTTTTGCTATCACCTTACTAATTTCTTACATTATATAGATAATCTCTGAGTTCAAGTCGATGAACAGACAGATAAAAAAAAGTAGGATAATAGATAATAAAAACAATGTGCTCTACTACTAAACCGCAATAGACTATTCAAACCATTTTTTTGGATTTTTTCAAAGATTTTTACAACCTACTATGGTGCAGTGTTCTGAAACATAGACCTGGGCAGGAACTTCCTTCTCCTAGGAGAAGTCCCACTACATAAAGAAATAGAGAGCAAAAATCATCGTGGGAGGGTAGGTGCTGGTCAGTTGCAATGTGCAACGGCCGTCTCTGCAAACTGCTGGCTGGCTGGCTGGCAGCAAAAAGTGTCCGTGCTAGGCACCTACACGTTCGTCACCCCCCGCTAAAGAAAGGATGATGTGCCTCATTAATAACGCCAAACCGAAACGGCATCAATCAATCGATCATTCAGAATTAGCAGTGATTGGGAAGGATGTTTTGACATACCATCTTTAGCCAATAAAACAAATAGTCGGGAAAAAAGCCTGGAACAAGTGCTAAAAAAGAAAGGCTCAAATGTGTTAACGATATAATAATACTGTTAGCAGGCGAAAATAGAGAGTTCTGCTTAATAAAAGATCATTACCAATTGAATTTTCCTTCTGTGCAAAACACAGTCCCAAAAACCGAGAATCTAGCATACATCTAAACCCCCATTGCAATACTACCGTAACTTCATAATACTAACCGTGAAATAATACGTACTAGCTGTAGGATAGTTGCAGACAATACACCTTCTTTTACGACAAAACAGTATTTCGGTAATCTAGCACACATCTAAACTAAATAACTTTACGACTGGTGTTACGGTAGGAAATTAGGCCTTTAAACAAGTTGTATTTGTGTTAAAGGTCGAAGCCATCAGAGGTACTATTCGCGTTCCCATCTCCCCCTCCCACGAGAGGATGAACAATACGCCCTATGGTCTTGGTAGGTTTTCGACCTTCTGCAGCTCCTTGTCATAAGCGTACCCTGCAATTTATGTACTGAAAAACCCGTCCGCTCTCTTAAGATTTGAAAAAATATTAATTTAGTTTGGTGGAACTGTAAGTACAATATCGAGGCGCATCCACTCCTTGTTCTCTAATCTTGAAGGGGAATCCAAACTTCAGTTCCGTGCTAGATCCACGCACCGTTCGTGGACGAATTGTCTTGCGTCGAAAAGCGCTTTCTAGCGCCAAAATTGTTCCAACGGACCAAATGACAACAATAATGTCAGGAAATATAACTTAAGTACATTTATCAACTCGCCTTACTGACGCGGAGCAACAATCAGAATGAGAAAAGAACGCCTTCTGGGATCATTAGGTTAGGAGAGGAGAGGTTTGTAACACAGAAATGAGTAGAAAATTAATTTTGGATATAAGGAAATTAGGCTCTATAGCGACTACTGAACTGATAAGATCAATATGAGCTGAAGCGAATGATGGCGACTAACAGTGAAAAGTTTGATTTATGAGAAATACAGCGAGATGATAAATTACGGGGATATTGGAAGAAAGCGACAAAAGGAGAAAAGATACGAAAGACAAAAAAGAAAAGCGGAATGTGTAAGTGTACTGGTAGCTGGTTCTTCCAGAAAAGCAGTGGAGGTGACTGTTGATGGGGAAGACCACTCCTCATTGACGACATTTCCGTGGAAGTCAGGGCTTTATAAGAAGACGTCCAAAGAATGCAGAACATTTTGTTTCCTTCTGATCCGTAGCAATGATAAGAATCCTAAGGTCTCGAGGTATGAGAAATCGAATACAACCAGGAATCATCTACCACCACACGTCAGACCAGACCATGCAGATCGCTACAGGTATCACTGCACTAGTACTTGTTGGACATTCCTAACTTGATAGTAAGGCAGAATTTCGGGTAGCGCCAAGCGGAGTACCATCAATTAGAAAGCGCTCTAACATAAGACGAAAAGACAACTCGTCCACTAACGGCGCATAACCGAAAAACAACCTAAAATAATATGATTTAATGATTTTTCCAAAATAAACGGTCAGAAAGTGGGTGCGCCTCGATATCATTCCTACATTCGAGCAAGATTAAGTTTATACCCCTCTTCTCGAATTAAATAGTTTGGACGAGTTTTTGGCACAGGAAGTGTGGTGCACCAACGACAACAGCGCGCAATATTAGCATCCATTCATAAGCCTCCATTCATTGTAAATTTCAGCGCACATGATCCAAGGTTTTCATTCCAGAAAGATACCTTTCTTAGCCAATTGAGCCTCACGAATGCCCAGGGTACTGTTCGATACGCTTGGGGTTCTACTGTCCTCTTTCCTACTCCACAACTGAAATTGGTTGACGCCAAAAGACTTCCCCCATTATCTGGGTGCGTACAAAATGATACGAAAACACCCCAAATCGTGGCACATCTCGTCTCCTTTTTTTGAGTTGCCTGGCGCTCTCCGGGAATTATAACAGGTAATCCATAACCTACTCGATACACCTTTTATGAGCTGAAGACTATGCCTCCAAACACCCCCTCAATAAGATTCGAGCTGTTCTTTTCCGTTAAATGTCAGTTTTTTGCAGCAGTTTGTGATGAAAATCTTATCGCAAGGGTGACACCATGTGAACAACAAATCGTTTGACATTGGACATCAGGATGGCCAGAAATCAGTTCGAGTCCGTCGCAGATCGATCCTCATACACACAAGCCAGAACCCTTCCGATCACAACCAGACCTATTATTCACCGTATTTGTGGATCAACTGTAAGTTAACAGAGTAATATATGCGTTTTTACTTATCGTTATTTCGAATTCGTATAGAAATGGTGACCCAATGCTAATTTTTGCTCGATGGCCACGAGCCGCGCAATGACATTTGAAATGCCAGTTTTTTCTTAAAAAAAGAGTATGTATTTCAGAAGGTTCGGACCTTCGGCTATGAGGAGAACCACATATAAAGGCAGTAGTGGAATTTACAAATAAAACACTTTATCATTTAAGACAATCGAAAAAATAAAATAATTTAAATAGTTGAACGTGAAGGTTTCTTGTGTGAGATGTGCGGATCTTTTAGCGTTCTCTATTTCTTTCCAGTTGGTGGTGCAAGTGGAACGCTTTTCTTAGCACTCAGCTTACTATTCACAATGCCAGTAATGTCCACGAGAATAAGTGTGTCCTGAAAAGAATCCACGTTACTGTACCTTGACACACTATGTAAAACATGTGTATTGATCGCTATAACATATCCTAGTATTCAGGGAGCATGCAAGCGAGCTAGCGTCTCAAGTCTGCCGTGGGAAAACTCGGCCATCGCATGCGGCGACTTCGGGTAGCCTTGACACTGCCGTCATAGAAGGGAAACCACCTCTAGCTTTATGCACTTGATGGAGCCTGGCTTTTGTCGACGTGACACCACCACTCTCTTTCTCTACCTTCTCATTCCAAAACTGAATCTCCCTATCGACTAACGTCCTGTTAAATGTTGGAGCTATTCTTTACTACGATAAGGACGCTTCAGTCAAGCCAAGGTCTTCAAAGATTCCCGCGCGGATGACCTAGTTTTGGCAGGATGACCCCTTTGGCACCTCCGGACCAGTTTCCACTTTCGCATGTGCTTAGATGCGAACTCTTGGAATCAGTGATAAACAACACCAAAAAACCAGTAAGAGTCATTGGTGGACGAAAGTTTATATTTAGCTCGACAGTGTCGGGCCTCTACGAACATACAGGCAAGTGGCTATGTGAATCATGCAAACTGATTGATATTCTGTCTGAGTTTCTCCTCTGATAGAGCTATCTCGTTGCAGCCTGGCAATGCACCCAATGCCTTGCGCAGAGTATAAACACCGCCCTTTTGGCGTTTGTTAGCTCAGAGTGATTCAGTTGGTAGAGATATTAGGAACAGCTCAGATTGATCGATTATCAGCGATCAATTGAAAAGGATCGTCGAAGTTTGATAAGGCGGAACTGAGGCTTCCAATGGTAAATGTACCTTTGTGATACCAATTTTGTCTACTGGCGTTTGAATGAGCTTTGGGCTGAGATCTAAATTCTTCTCTTCATCTCCATCACGTCTGAAGTATCCATAAACCTGAACGAGTTTTTTTGAATATTCAAATAAGAGTAAGCTCCTGCCCCGTCTCAGGTCGGGAACGTTCTCAGATTTTTAGGGTTTCCGAAAACTGTTCAGATAAATGCAGCCAGTTTCTGCTGGTGGGCGAGTTCCTGAAGGGAACTTGTAAGCTATGCCCCTCTCCTTTTGGGCAGGCCCCCTGCCTACCACTGTGCGAATTCAAAAAGCGGAAACAAACACAAGCCCAAAACGACTTCAATCACCTTCAGCTTCACAACAGACTATCATATAGAGAGCCCGAGCAAGTGATGACACTTTTGGCCGGTAAAAGACTTAGCGGAGGAACTCCATAGTCCTCAGGAATCAAGGGCGATTTTGGGCCACAAAATCAAGGGCGAGGTCTTCCATCCGTAGTTATGAATGCAGTGTTTCGAGGGGTATTTGGTCCCTAGACGACTTACAAGAGTTCATTGATGTGTCACAAGGAGAACCACTTGGTTAAGATGGAGACGTAGGGCTTTTTAGCCTTAGCGTGATCGGAGCCGGGATCTGCTAAGCGTTGGGATGGGGCCTTTAACTGCTCGGCCATTCCCATTCGATTTTTCCCATGAGGATGCTCACAGTATTTTTGGAAATTCTTTCTCAAAAATGATCGTAACTATTCTCACCTTATCAGTGTTCATTATTTTGAGGACACGTCGAATTTCACGAATCAAATCACCAAGAGGACCGTTTTTGACAAATTCAACTGGACACTGGTTTTCTTCATCCTCACAAAAGCAGGCCTACGAGTTTTAGCCATGGCACATGACTCTAGGGAGGAGATTTCGAGGAAATTGAGAAACTTAACCAACTTTGAATTCAATTTTCTGAAGCCTGTTATCCTTTGGAATTGTTATGGCCTGAAAATTACTGACGTATGTTTACTCGGAAATAAAAGCTGGCAAAATATGTAGTGTCAATTAAGTATCTGTCAGAACTTTTTCATGGTTCCTAAGCTTCCCTTTCCATGTTGATATAACTAAAGGCACTGTTTACGAAAAAATGGTTTCGGAGATTTGCACATGGTTTGAATTCGACGCCCCTCTGATACCATTTGCGTAGGCGGAAAACGGCTGGATAGGGCACAATAAGGGG